AGGCGGCAGCCATGTTCATGCAAATGCCGTGGGGGATATTTAAAGCCCCCACGGCATTTGCAATTCCAACTGGTCTCATTAGCATCCCTTTTCCGGAAAAGGGTGCCAATGTAGATACAGTCGCTATGTCCCCAGCCCCCTGTCCTAATTCCTACACCCTCAGCCCCCGTTCCTATGGCCTAAGCACCCACACTCCACCCCCACACTTAAATTTCGTACAGGTACTGTTTTGTCGCACCTCATCCCCACTGTCCTAAGGCCCCCGCAAGGGGATGGGTGGGTTGTGATAGGACAGTATCTGTTAGAAATGTAAGTTACTTTCATCCCTGGAACAACCTGAACTTTACCACTTCCTGACTTTTCAGTGCTGCACTCTCCACTGTAACAGTGTTCTTTTAACAGCTTTTTTGTATGTAACTTACATATGCAGCATTGCTATGCAGGATATCCCCTGCCTGTTGTGCTTGGGTGCCAGCTGTAAACATAGACAAAAATGACAGTTGGGCATAGAGGACACCACCCCATTCAAGAGGATAAAGGCTGATGTAATCCTGTCTGTTCACTGCAGGCCAAACACCACACTCTGGAGATGTGACATACGGTGGAGGCAAGTATTAGCTGGGTCACATACACATCTGACAGATGCGCAGGCCTCCCTCTCCTCACACTTTAGTAACATACACAGCTGCTATGTCAGTCAAGATATTGTCTTGTGTCTTGCTTGCCTAGCACCTTGTCTTTCTGTGAGCAACTTGGGGAAGGAGCCCTGTGCTCACAACTGTGCAGAAGCAAGGCTGAGGCAACAAATTACATCCGCTGGGTCAGTGTCCCCCCACGCATCCCTGAGACTTCTCCACCGTCGCCGTGCTTAAAGCCAGGCTTTCACTCTGCACCAGTTGTGTGCCTATTACCCACTCTCCTACCCCAGAGCTGTCTGGGTTTTAGTGGTGGTTTATGCATAAAAGTTTGTAAACTACTTTGGGTTGTCTGGGATGAAAGATGCTCTAGAAATATCAGATGTAATTGTTTGTTAAGTAGCGTGTTTGGATTCTGATGGACATTTTTCACCCCAGTCTAAGACATAGCTCTGATGTGTCCTTTTCATTCCTTCTGCCTCCTTGTTAGATTAATGACTGCTATGCTGTGTGTGTGTGTGCGCACATGCGTGCGTGCATGCGTGTTTGTACACAACCCCTGTGAGGTAAGCTGGGATATCAAATTATGGCACTTGAGCATGCTGCACACTTAACTATGCTTGTGGATCCTGCTGATGCACACTAAAAGTTCCCTAGTGTGTATTGTATTTTGAAATAGGGATGTTAAATATCAGCTAATTGAATAGTCAATTAACCTCATGAATTTTTATCAGTTACTCAACTATTCTATAGTCAGTTATAGCCCATGTGCTCTGGCCCCACTCCTGAGGAGCTCCCTACCACTCTGCGCTGCTACCTCTGTATCAGTTTAAAAACCAGCCAGTTTAAAAACCAGCTGCCTGTCACCCCATGCTGCTGCCTCTGTCCAGGGGAGGTCTGAGCTCCCAGACCCGGTGAGAGTCGGGACTGAACCCGTCTGCCTGCCTGTTCAGCTCCTAATACACTTTAAATGCAGATTCATAGCAAGGGGTAGGTCCTGGATCCATCACAAGCCAGGACTGAGCCAGGTTGCTGGCCAGCCTGATAAAAAAATTAAGGGTGGGGAGGCAAGGGAAAATGTGTGTAGTCTATAGCATTAACCTGCTTCTAGGTTAATGGATTAATCGACTGCACTATTACATCCCTAGTTTGTAATAGAGAGATTGAAAGACTGTTCCCTCATCATTCTGATCTAACTGGCAGGCAGTAGCTCTGCAGCCTGCCCAGAGGCAGGGGTTCTTACAACTGGTAATTCAACCAATAATTTGAAATGACTTAGATGAGCCGGGCAAGGACAGCTCTTCATGGGGAAATGCTTTCTCTGTATTCCCACTCTGGGGTCTAACATATGGAATTGCAGATAGCCGGTGGTAGCGCACATGCACCTCAGGCCAGGCTGGGGGTTACAGTCTGACTGAAGGAGGCTGAAAGTTATCAAGATCTCCAGATGCTAAAGTGAAGCAGGATGGGGCAGTGGCTTGCCCGTGAAGCCCTGAGGAGTGTATATTGGAGCTCATCTTAGCTGTCCCTGTCCTATAATGTAAGGCAATGCTCTCCATGCACTTTGGAAGGATTATGGTCCGGCGCAAAAATGAGTCTAGCATCTGAGTTGGCCCCACTGCTTGATCAGGATTTTTGTTTTATTGTGCTTACATGTGAAACTGAACTTCCCTGGGGCTTAATGGATATTTTCCATGATGAAGAATTTGTCCAACAGCCTTTCCAGCAGGCCTGGTATCCATTCCTTCAGCAGCAGCAAAGGCTTTTGGCTCCAGTAAGGATATATGACCTCTCGATGTCGCAGCACACCGGCCCGCACCACTACCTGTGCACACTCTTCTTTGGGATTTGCTTTCATGGTGATTTTATCACCGACGATTTTCACAGCATTGTCTGAGATAAACAGAACAATTATCACATGAAGTATCTCCTTCCTTCTCTTCTCCCAGATTAAATAGGGTGCATCTGTGTACACTGGGGAGCATAAACTCTTTGAACTGCAGGAATCAACTCCCAAACTTTTTCTATAGCTCATAATATCATCATCATGTAATAAATCTCCCGACTTCCCCTTATCCCCCTGATATTCTCTTTCAACATCAAAGAACATAGGAACATAAGACCGGCCATATTGTCCAGTATCCTGTCTGCCGATAGTGGCCAATACTAGATGCCCCAGAGGATAGCAACACAACAGGTAATCATCATGTGATTCCTCTCTTGTCATCCATTTCCAGACAAACAGAGGCTACCATTCCTACCCATCCTGGAAAATAGCCATTGATGGACCTAACTTCCATGAACCTATCCAGTTCTTTTTTGAATCCTGTTAAAGACCTAATCTTCACAACATCCTCTGGCAAGGAGTTCCACAGATTGTGCACTGAGTGAAGAAAAACTTCCTTTTGTTTGTTTTAAACCTGCTGCCTATTAATTTATTTGGTGACCCCTAGTTCTTATATTGTGAGAATAGGTAAATAACGTTTCATTATTCACTTTTTCTGCACCAGTCATGCTTTTATAGACCTCTATCATATCCCCCCTTAGTCTCCTCTTTTCTAAGATGAAAAGTTCAAGTCTTTTTAATCTTTTTCTCATCATATGTGATCCATTCCAAACCCCTAATCATTTTTGTTGCTCTTTTCTGAACCTTTTCCAATGCCAATATAACTTTTTTGAGATGAGGTGACCACATCTGTTTGCAGTATTCAAGATGTGGGCATAACATGGTTTTATATAGAGGCAATAAAATGTTCTCTCTCTTATTCTCTAGCCCTTTTGTAATGATTCCTAACATTCTGTTGCTTTTTTGATTGCTGCTGCACATTGAGTGGATGTTTTCAGAGAACAATCCACAATGACTCTAAGATCTCCCTCTTGAGTAGTTGTAGTTAAATTAGTTCTCATCGAATTGTTTGTGTAGTTGGGATTATTTTTTCCAATGTGCTTTACTTTACATTAACCAACATACATCTGGATTATGCTTACCCCTTCTGCACTGCGTGTTGCAGCCTAATGATTAGGTCTGCCCAGGAGAGAGTAGCAGCTCTGTTTTACCTGTGTCAATGTATCCCAGCACAGCAATTGTGACAGAGAGATTGATCTGCTGAAGATGCAGCTCCCTGCGTAGCGAACTGTAGAAACCTTCCAGAGCAAACTTGGCAGCAGAGTATGAAAGGGTGAATGGGGTTCCTATGCGACCTGAAAAGAATCAAAGCAATAGACATGGCTGAGAAATTCCCCTCAGGAAACGATTCGCTGAGGGAATGGTTTTAGGTCAGTGGAGCTGTCAGAGGACAAACTGGAGTTTCTCCTGTAGGTCCAATGATACAGTTCAGATGATTTTTCTGTTGCATAACTGACAACCTCGGAAACCAAACATATCTTCTATTAGATGGGATAACCCTGCACAAGCTAAACAGTGTCAGGGCATGTCAGTACATGGGAGGAGACCTCCCGTGGACACCTGTAGAGTTGATTATTTGGTAGGTGGCCCTCTTCACTGCATGGAGTCAGTTCTCAGACTAAACCTTCAGGAAAGCTGCATTTCAGTGATGGGTGAATGATCCCAGGCTATGTCTACACTGCAGGAATTTGTCGGCAGAGGCAATGCAAATGAAGTGCTCATTAGCATTTCTCGTGTTCTCATTTGCATAGTCTCTTCTGATCCTATCTGCGGAAGATGTTTTTGCGGAAAAAAAATGCAGCGTAGATGGGGCAAAACCCCTTTTGCACAAGATCCTGTATACCTGTTTTTCTGAGGCAGAAGGGATCTTGCGCAAAATGGCCCCGTCTACACTGCTTCCGCAATATGGCTCGGAAGAGACTATGCAAATGAGAGCGCGAGAAATGCTAATGAATGTTTCATTTGCATTGCCTCTGCCGACAAATTCCTGCAGTGTAGATGTAACCCCAGTGAACAGTTTGTAGAGAGCATTTTGGAAGACAGATTTGGAGGAGAAGTGTAATTACTCATCCTTGGCCACCAAAGCATTAACAAAACTTCTCTGGAACAAAACCCCCTTGTAACTGGCAGGAAGAGATTGGCTGTGGTTGTAACTAGCGGTGTTTTCTGTGGAGGGGGCCACCAGCATTGTTATTTCTGAGATTGGTTTGACTTAGAGCAGGCAGGTTGGATGAGTTCATTGGTTACCGAGAGGAGCAGCCTTCCTTACCACTCATGGAGGATATGACAATGATGCTGCCCTGAGACTCCTGCAGCATGGTCATTGCAGAAACTGTCAGCTGGACATAGCTCAAGAAGTTGACAGTCATAGAACTGGTCACAGTTGCCATGTCTCCTTGGAATAAGCGTTCAAAACCAGGTAGTTGAGACCCCCTGAAAGATAAGGGGAATACAGATTCAGGTCAAGTATGGGCATCTGTTCTTGGATCAGGGTGGATGTGGTACACTGTCTGAACTCTCCCCTTCACAAGATTAGTCGTTCCGAATCAGAGTCCCACCAGTATCAGGGGATCTGCCCTGGAATCCACACACATTTCATCAAAAAAATTTCTTAGCTGAAGCTGGACTTGCTGCCACTGAAATCAATAGCTGAACTCCCACAGATTTAAAAGAGAACTGGACTCTGATATTGTCAGCTTTGGTCCCAAGCTAACTCCCACCTTTGTTCCCCAGAGTCGGATGCACATTAACTATTCCCATAACTTCCTTCTAATGCTTGTGATGGCATATGCCAGCAGAGCCATCTTAGGCATGTGCTGTCAGGCTCTGCTTTTTCCTCCTATATGCAAACTGCTGGATGCCTGCCTCACTCACAATTCAGCCTTTGCCGCATTCGTCTGACCCATCTTTCACTGTGTAACTTGCCTGCAGCTACTCAGAGCTTAGTTAAGTACTCCATTCTGAGAGATGGGGCTTATTCCATCTGACACAGAGCACAAGCAGCTTGGGATGAAGCAATAGCTGTTGATTAAAGCAAGCCACCTTTTCCACAGAGGGCCTCAACATTGGTGATGGCATAACATTAATGGCTGTTCAACTTCCCAGGGAAGCTGCCCTGCCACCAATGAGGTTTAGTGTTGGGATTTCCCAACTGGTGCATGGAGAAGTTCTCATTGTGTGGAAGCCCAGCAAAGTAACTAGCTGTTAAAAAGAGATCTCCACCAACCGTATAGGAATCAGTGTCTGGGAATCCACATGGCTGGGCTAACCCCTAGGAAGGTTAGGCTTTTTCCTGTTAGCAAAATAATGGAGTACCCTGTTTCAGAGAATGGCAGCACAAGCAATTGGAGTGGGTAGCCCAGGAGAATAGCTCCTTCCCTGTCCCAGGAGTACAAATACAAGGAGGGAAGAGATGCAAGTTTTACCCAGTTTGTTTCTGGCTTCTTCAATGACATTCTGGGCTGAAATCAAGTTGTTCATGTCGGACACCACATATCTAGCAGAACTTGCCCCCAGTTCCAGACACTTCTGTGCCACCTGAAGAGGAAAGAGAAAAGCTTTCAGCAAAGAACCTGACACTGCAGCAGGCTTCCGCATTGTAGCTGTTTCATAGCACAGAGTAGAGTGTACAGCTATTTGCTCCAGTTCTCTCCAAGTTAATGGATGGGGCATGAGCTCAGGCTAATGCAAAACAGAAGAAACTGAATGCTGCTGAAGAATCACATTGGGCTGAAGCGCAAAGAAGCAATGATTTGCAGCAGCATGCTCAAAGCCATGTCAAGGCCTGGACTCAGGTGTGAACATGACTTCTCTTGAGGCCAGGGGGTTTGGCCACCCTTGCATCCTTCTGTGTGAGATTGGAGAGTGGGGTATAAGAGAAGCCTAAATGTCCCACTTCTCCACTTTCTGTAGGATGCTTTCCTTAGGAGTCTTACCTCTTTGAGCTGCTTCTCCCTCCTGGCAGTGAGGAGCAGGTGGGCTCCCATTCGTGCAAACTCATAGGCTATTTGTTCCCCAATCCCAGTGCTTGAACCAGTCACCAGCACACGCTTCCCTTGCACCATTTCTGCAGGTTTAAAAGGTTGTTAGCAGGAAATTGCTCCATTGGCTCCCTAAAACCCTGGCCATCTGGGAGCCCAAGGATTGCAAGACTGATTTTCTCAATCCCAGAAATACATGCCATTGAAGAGGACCTGTCTTTTCATTTGTAAAATGGAGGTAGTGATACCCCAGGGCTATGTCTACACTAGCGGCTTCTTGCGCAAGAAGTTTTGTGCAAGAACATGTCTACACTGCCATGTGTGAGATGTGCTTTGTGCAAGAGCATCCATGGCAGTGTGGACGCTCTCTTGCACAAGAAATCTCTGATGGCCATTTTAGCTGAAGGCTGTGTCTACACTGGCCACTTATTCCGGAAAATCAGCCGCTTTTCCAGAATAACTTGCCAGCTGTCTACACTGGCCGCTTGAATTTCTGGAAAAGCACTGACAATCTAATGTAAAATCATCAGTGCTTTTCTGGAAAAACTATGCTGCTCCCGTTCGGGCAAAAGTCCTTTTCCGGAAAACTGTTCCAGAAAAGGGCCAGTGTAGACAGCACAGATTTCTTTTCTGCAAAAAAGCCCTGATCGCGAAAATGACGATCGGGGCTTTTTTGTGGAAAAGCACATCTAGATTGGCACGCAAAAAGTGCTTTTCTGGAAAAGCATCCTGCCAATCTAGACGCGCTTTTTCCGAAAATGCTTATAACAGAAAACTTTTCCGTTATAAGCATTTCCGGAAAATCTTGAGCAAGAAACCCCTGCCACATGTCCACACTGCCCTCTTGCACAAGAGCTCATGCGCAAGAGAGCTTACACCTATTAGAAAAGAGTGTAGCTCCTGCGCAAGGAGCCCTCTCTTACCACGCTGTACTGTAAATCTTCTTGTGCAAGAGTAGGCGGGCCATGTGGACACTCTGCAGATTCTTGCACAAGAACAGCCATTGTTGCACAAGAACCTGCCAGTGTAGACATAGCCCAGGAGTACTATTAGTCTGTGAAGGTCTGACTGCTGGCACTATCTTGTTTGTACACTTGTGGAGTCATTACATCTTTGCTCAGCCTGACTTTTTGGAGCAAAAACCACTTGTGATATGGACTTATGTGTAATTGGACAAGTCAGGGAGAAAGGACCCATTAAGTCACCCCGTCCCTCTCCCTGCCAGTACAGGATATGGAGCATTTATTAGATTTGCTTTAAATATCCCAAGCGATGGGGATTCCAACATTGCTCTTGGTGTACCAATAGCTAGTGCAGCTCTCTGCAAATGTGGCCTTGCCCACTATTACAGAAAGCATGTTCCCCAAACACATTGCTCCTACGGTAGTTTTCAGTTGCCAGAGGGAGCTTATGGCAAGCACCAGAAAGTTGGTTCTCTCAATGGCTCCTTTTAGAAAGAGGTATTTTCTCCTTTTCCTGATATTCGGGTTCTGTGGCCTTTGAAACAAGGTTATCCCAAGCCCTGGTCTGTCTTTTTGTTACTCAGAATCAGTGTTCCCCCTATGTCCATCCCTGGAGAAAAAAATCAGTGCAGCATGTCCTTAGTAAAATATCTGGCTTCTTTAGGTCATTGGTGGGTACATTTTCTGTCATCATTTTGCCTTGTCTAAACTCTTTGCCCGTGCAGTGGAGATGGAGCCAAACACTCCCTACTTCGCTATCCCTTTTTACATTGGATCTTCTCTCTGTTCACCTCTTGTTTTTCAGCTCCAGCTTCCCTTATGCATCTTAAATAGATCATCGTCATAGATCTAGCTTAGTTTTGGGAAGTATTTTCAAATGCGTTGGCTGCTGATAGTAATCACCAAATTAAGATAATCTTTTGTGAGAGGGCCACAAAAAGAGATTAATTTCTGTCCTGATTTCAGCTGAGTTTTGGCAGTCAGCAAAGGATCTGGTTAGTTTATTCCTAGACCTCCTCTATGCCTGAGGTGTGAACTGGGCCATTATGGGGAGGGTGTAGGGTCTGGGGCAACTCTCCCAGTGCCCTGGCAAGGAGTTCAAGGCAACCCCCTCTTCCTCAACCCCCATTCCCTTGTGTTCTTCCCCAAGCAGCTTGGCCTGGGTATTACGGGGGGCCTGGTGCACTGGCAGCAGGGGTCATGTCCCCCTCCCTCCCGCCATTCACTACGTGGGCGGTGGAAGCTGGAGTGACCTAGCAACCTGCTCCACCCTGTCCCAGGCTGTGCTGCTCTGTCTCAACCCACTGCTCCTGCATCCCCTTCTTTGCAGCGGCAGAAAGCAGAATGCTCTGGGCCTGCACCTAGCCCCCATAATCTCCTGGTTCCTGTCCATAGGACAGGTGGGGCGGCCACCATCGGGCCCCCAAAAGTGCAGGATCTGGGACAGCCATCTCAATTTGTACTACGGATGGATGGCTCTGGGTGTGAATTCCCAGGGAGCTCTCCGGCTTTCCTTACCTGGAGATAAGGTTTCCTCGCTGTAGAAATAATAAGCACACAGGCCAACAAAGAGCGAGAGGAAAAGCTTGATTGCAGCCATTGTACCACCTCTGTGCCTAAATTCCGTCATCAATCATTAATCCCTGCAGGTTGCATCATGTTCAAATGATAAAGGAGTGAGGGTCATGGTCTGATTTCAGCCTATGTCTCCCGTGCCAGAGCTTCTGGCTCCACTGTCTGATGTCTCACCAGCCTCGCATTGGAGCATTGCCTCACCTCCCTCCTGCCACCAGTTTGTCTAGGCTGTGTATGCACTAGATTTACTTGTTTGACTCTGTTCCCCTCTTGCACCGTGCATCACCAATGGTGCCATCTCTTCTGAGCTGCATTAGCTCAGCTGACTTGAACAATATGGATGATGTTAATTGTCACCTATTGGAGGGGACAGTGGCTCACCTTTGTTGTGGAATGAGCACACCCAGAAAACTGCTGCAGATGGCTAATAGCCACTGGAATGTCCTCTTACAGCCCCTTGTCAATATGAGAATTTTGAGGGATCTGGGGAGAGACTAGAGCGAGACAGAGAAGAAGGTCCAGTTTCAGCCAAACGGTTCCCTCTTTAAGCTGTCTTCTGGCTGTCCTGGCTTTTTTTTTTTAAACAAAAATAGATATTTCTTCTGTTTACTCTTCCCAACTAATCAGTTGGCAAGATCAAACAAATATTCCCCTAGCTGGTGCCATAGCTACTCATATAAAGTGTGTTACTATTTTAAAATGCATTGGGTCTAATTTTCAGAGTTGTTAGCAAAAAATGCTCAGGTAGCTACTGAGGTTTTACTTGCATTTTGGGTATCTACACATGCCAAGAGCTAATTGTGTGTCTTGCTAGTCATCACAGAAATAGTAGATGTGTATATTTGCCTCTGGCTTTATGAAAATCTTGCCCTCTAGACTATAACAACCTATAATGATGCACAAATATATTGTAGCCATGTTTCAGTTTTTTGTGTAGTTGCACTAGTGTTGGTACCAGGATATTACAGACACAAAGTTGGGAGAGGCAATATCTTATGTTGGATCAACTTGTTTTTGTAAGAGAGAGGTTCTTTTGAGTTTACAGATCTCTTCTTTTAATATCCTCAGACCAACACAGCTACAATACTTCTCTAGACCAGTCATTATTTCCTACATTTGTAGAAACTCAAGATCCATAGGTTACAGAGTATGGGGGCATATGAACGTGCATGTGTGTGCGTATGCACACAGCCTGGGATTTCTGCCAAAGAGAAAGGACCCTGCCACAGCCAAGATGCAGGCAGGACGGGTGGATAAACAAGATCAATGGGTCCCTTTTGGATTTTAATGACCAACAGGAACGTCACTGCATTAGACTGAAATCCAACAAATCAAAACTGTTTTTACTACAGGCATTCACTGGGAATGTCCAGCATACCAGGGTTTTGCTCCCTTTCAGAAGGAGAATGTCTTTAGGCAGGGAGCAATCAGGTGCTTTAAGGAGAATGTCCTCTCTGAATTTATTACTGGTGAAAGGTGCTAAATTGACAGGCCTGGAGGACAAAGTCCTCTTTTCCTAGATTCACTGTCCCACCAACATTTCTCCTCAGAAAAATTCAGTCTCCATGACTTCTCTGCTGAGATGGCCCATGAGTGGCCAGTTGTGATGTGGCTGCTCAACCTCTAGGAATTTGACTGGGACCCTTCACGTTTATTTCCTGTGAGCCACAAGCAGCCAGCAAGCACTGGTAACGTTCTATCATAACTGACCTGGGCAGTATTAGAATAGCTGACTGAGGCTCCATTGCCTATTACCAAGTCATCCATTCTCCCTCTAAGGTTGATATTTAAATATATGGTATCACAAGAACGGAACAACTACAGTGCATCCTGCCTTGGGACCCTTCACGTTTATTTCCTGTGAGCCACAAGCAGCCAGCAAGCACTGGTAACGTTCTATCATAACTGACCTGGGCAGTATTAGAATAGCTGACTGAGGCTCCATTGCCTATTACCAAGTCATCCATTCTCCCTCTAAGGTTGATATTTAAATATATGGTATCACAAGAACGGAACAACTACAGTGCATCCTGCCTGCTTTTCTGGGCAGTGAAAGTTGCTGGTCTGAAAGACTCTGGAGGTGTACTTTTGTTTTCTTTTCTCATAGCGGCAAAGGCTGTGAAAATGCGATGTCCAAGGCAAATGACTGGAAAGAAGCAAGCTCCAGAGGGAGGATTCTGTCCCTCCCATACCAGAGCTTCTGGCTCCACTGTTCCTCCCATGTTCACCATGCCCAGGGTCTTTGGACCTTTTCCTGAACTGATGAGCAAACAGGTTTGTACTTGGATCTTCCACTACTGTGTTCCTAAGGACCTTGGGGTCCTTAGGATGTATCCTCAAACCATGCAAGTCCTCCAAGCCAGCGGTTCCCAACCACTGGTCAGTGGACTGCGAATCCCTGCTTGACAAATCACCTTATGTTGCCAGGCCACGTCCCCAGCATTTTAGTCCCGCCCCCTAGGGTTCCAAGGGAATTCCCTTCTGCACTGCATGGCGCAACAGGGTGAGTGTGGTGGCTGGTAGCTGGGTGTGCTACAGCTGGAGCTACAGTAAGGCTGTCCTTACTGGGGCAGCCTCACTGTGGCCCCAGCTCCAAGACCGGTGATTGATATGCAGCCCAGCTGGCCCCAAAAGGAGCCGCACACGGCAGGGGGTGAGGGAAGCCCTGAGCCCCTGAAGTAGCCACATATAAGAGGGGAAGGGCAACAGGCGGCCTCAAGTAACTGAATAAGGCCGCATAGATTGAAAACATGGCCCTTTGAGCCTCTCATCTCAAAACACAACACAACTATCCTGAACCCTCATCTTCCTCTTTGATGTCACTCATCAAAGTATAGTCATTGGGGATAATCTTGAGTTACAAAGAGCTGAGTGGCTAATTGTGCCCATCATTTCGGCTTTAGACTCAGAAACTTCACACTGCTGTTTTACCTGCTTTCCTGCCACCCGTGGCAGTGACTTACAGCCACAATCTTGGTTACAATGACATGTATTGTGTGTGTATAGATGCACTTGAAAATAACATGTGACCTCTTTAAAATTGCCAGAATGAAGATGCAAATATGCAAATACATTAATCACCACATTGAGTATGCAAATATTTCAGTGCCAGTCCACTAACACTTTTTGAATGAGTTTGCCAGTCCTCAGTATAAAAATGTTTGAGAACCACTGCTCCAGGCTGCTTGGGGTCTCCACTGCTACCCTCACTATAGCCACGTGCTGCACCTGTCTCAGGCTGCAGGCCTCAATAGTGTGGAGTAAATACTGACCACGGGCATTAATACAAGAGCCTCTGACCGGAGCAGGAAGCAAGGTTCTCCCAATAGAAGAAGTCCTCTCTCAGTAGCTACCCCTGCCTAGCTTCTGCTAGGGGCAGGAGCCCTGGCTCTGGGGGAGCTCACAGCTACTCCAACTCCAGCCCCCCAGCAGGAGTCCTGTAAAGAATGGGGTAGGAATGCTCATTCTTGGAGGCTTCAGCATCTCCATCCCGGCTTTAGCCTTTCCCAGCAGCAGCACCGAGTGCGGGGTTGGTTAGCTAGCTTGCTTGTGAAGAAACCCTGCTTGTATTGCTGCCTAACAAGTACTTTAATTTCCAATAGATGGACAGAACAACAGTTTCAAACACTGACCTGAAGCACCTTTGGTCTGGCGTGTCAACAATGAACCCAAAAAGGTTTGCGGCATTGGGGAGGGTCAGGGCTGGCTAGGGAAGTGTGAGAAAGCAAGGAAGAGAAGAAGCACGTCCCCACTTTCCTATAGGTGATGGGGTGGGGGAAAGTGAACATGTGATGGAGCTGGAGGGAAGCAGAGCACTTGTCCGGTGTAGGGTGGTCACACCCTAGAGGCTCTCCAGCCCATGTAATGTTATTCCTTCTACAGCCTGGTCAGCGTGATACAGGGAACACTTCCCTTTTGTCTGGTGCTATAGGACTGCTTCATCTCACCTCTCAGGTTCCCCTGGGCCTCAGAGGACTAGGGTGAACAACAGGGCACCATGCAGTTTTGCAGTGGTGTTAGTTCTCTGTCTAACTGCCTTGTCTTCCAACAGCATGGTTGATCTGCATCCTATAGTGCTGAACCCTGGTGGCTTTCACACCTCCCTTCAAGCTGGTAACCACATCAATAAGCTGAGGTACACCAATTTCTCAAGGTAGGTCTCACTAGTTACCAGCTATACCAGGACCAGATTCTGATCTCTTTTCTCTTTCTATGTAGCATGGTAGTACATAGACAAAGGGATGAGAATATGGCTCTTGGGGAAGGGCCTTTTGGCTCACTGTAGGGTCTTCTTTTGGGGGATGGAAAGGGGAATTTGGTTACATATAAGGGCTCTGACTTGCTCTGAAGTCAATGATAGTAAAGCTTCCCCTTCAGCTGTGTTGGATCATGTTCAGCAGAAAGGAATCCCATCATCTCAGCCTTATTCTGGCCAAGAACCTCCTTAGGAAGGGAAAGGTTCCAATCCATTACATTCAAGTGCTAACAAATGAAGCAATGCTGTTTACAGGACTGACTGAGCAACGATCAGATCCTTACATGGGAGTGGGAGAAGAGGTAATGTTAAGTGCTGTAGTGCATTTGGTCACCATAATACACTTGGCAGGAAGGTTCTGACCATGGGGAATTCATTTCATACCATATTGTCCTTTGTATGTATATCATGTAAATCATTAGAGGATTGTGGCTTCGCCTAATTTATCAGTTATGTCTGAGGAGTGCTGTGACCCTTTTCACCAATGCTCAGCTACTTGTACCGAACAAATAGGAATAGGTTCCAGGCGTTATCTACCAATCACATTACTTCTCCTGGTGATCCTCACTGGAAATCATTTCTCGTTTTAGGCCTCTTGGGAACAATCTCAAACCTTCTCTCCAAAAGGCATGCCCTTCCGACATGAAATCCACACCGTCTGTTTTTGACACACCCATGCTGTCCAAGTTTCAAGGCAGCTCAGAAGATGACATGGATAATGAGAAACCTGGCCCCAGTTCCTCTCCAAAGGGGGCATAATTGTCTCTTCCTGTATGGAAAGCTGCTACGCGAATAAAAGTTTCATGGAAGCTCCTTGATTGTGGGTGAGGACTCTGCTGTGTAGGAGTCTTGGGGATGATACGAAGGGACTAGCTGATTGATTGCTTAGGAAGGACAATTGTCAGGTGGGGCAATTCTAATAGGCCAGAGCAGGCAAGGTACATATAAACATCACTGCTTACATGATTCACTGCAAAGGTGTTCCCCTTTAGGTAGAGCAGTGGGCAGGAGGTTATTAAGTGACCTCACTTCTGATGGCATGGGTTCCAGGGACTCCCCTACCTTATTAGTCACAGCTGTCCTGGTCTGGATATGAACAAGTGAATGAGCAGGGAAAGGTTCTGAGACACATGACCAACCCTCCCGGCTTTGCTGCTTAGAGAGGCAGTGCCCTTTCTGCAAGTGAGCACCCCAGTCTTGGCCCTCTCCATTTCTTTTTATTCTCTTTGGAAGGTCACTGTAGGAAACTCTGCTCTTGCAAGTGGGGCTGGAGCATTTGAATCTGCCTCCAGAATGGAATCGTAAGGACTCAGAACAACACTGAAGGGGCTTATTATAGCGAGCAGGTCGACTCAAAGGCCCAATGTTCACCCAGTACTCACTTCTGCCTCTCAATCACTCTCTAAATAGTGAAAAGTGTCTTAAAGGCCCAACAGAAACTGGTTGCTTAAAAGAAGTGGAACTTTTCTTAATGGTGGGACAAAATGAAGGACAGGAATACTTTAGGGTAGTCTGTTTAGACAGCAAGTTCGGTGTCATTTAATTACTCTTTTGCTTCATCTAATGCTAATAATTTCAGCTTGAATTTCTGAAATGGAAAAAGTAATCTGACCCAGGCATGAACTTGACTGATTTATAGGTAGGAAAGAAATTCCAAAGCAGTCACATAAATCTTGTAAACAATTTCTTAATTTAATTACACCCAACTGTGCATTCCAGAGAAGGCATTAGTTTAGTCAGAAGCAGCTCTGGTCACACTGATTTAGTGAAACTCGGTCAATTTCTCAATGATTAAAAAAAAAAATAGAAAAAGTATCAATTATGGGCTGCCAAACTGTACAGGACCTCTCTGTGGCCCAGTTGCTCAGCCTTCTCCCTGCTAGGAGGGGACATTTTCAGCTGATAACCTGCCCCTCAAATAAATCTTTCTCTAGAAAACAGCTGTATTTAGTAGGTGCCCTTGTTCAGCTTCTCTGTTGAAAACTTTTTCCCCCCAATACAGGTTCTTTCCAGGTCTGGAAGAGCAGAATTCTTGTTTCATTGGCCTGTCCTATGCTGTTCCCACTTACCTGCTTGTGACATTAGACTCTCCAGATGCTAAAATCCTCTTTCTTTCCTTCCCCTCCCCATCCCTTCCAATTTGTCTAGCCTCTCCTCCAAGCTCCCATTCCCCAACTTTTCTTCTGCTGCCAGCTGTAAGAAAAGTGCCTTGGTTTGGAAGTACAAAAGTCTCATCATCCTGTCCCAGCACCTTGCAATGAAGGCAAAGCAGAGGCACAGTACATTGTAAGGAGAGCAGAGAGAATCTCATACCAGATACTTCCCACCCCTTGGCTTCCAGGTAAATGGAGACCATGGCTCAGTACAGGAAGCGGCTCTAACTGGAACAGATGATGGCTTGCTGTCCTCTGCTGGTCTCACCAGAAGAAGCATCCTTAGATCTCATCTTTGTTACCTTCCTGGGTTGAAACAGCCGCTCTTAAGAGATGATGGGTCAATAAGTACCTGGCAATGGAAGGGGAAAGCAATGGCTTTATACTGATTATTAATTACCACAGCACCTAAATAGAACTTAATACTTGAAAAATCAATGCCCAGTCCTGCAAGGTATTATCCATATAATTTAAACTTTGCATTAAAAATTACAGTGCAAAATTGGCATTGGAAAGTCAATTTTTTTAACGTCCTGACACAAAATTTCACCAAAGTGCTGATCAGCCAATCTGACCCAGCAGGAAGCCTTCACAAAGCAGCTGCAAACTGCCTTGGTCAAGTAACAATCTGATTGCAACCCAAAGAAACCAAAAAACTAAAGAGTAAAAATCTGAACATTCCCCTGATCCCACTCCTGGGGAAGATTAACATTTTTGGAACCATTCTCAAACCCACAAAAGTCCATAAGAGTTAAGGGTGCTCAGCACCTTTATTTAAGTTAAAGTTGCCTGTCCCATCAGGGTTGTATTGATCAGAGCTGCAACCACATGACCAGTTATAGAGACTCATAGAACATTAGAACTGAGAAGGACCTTGAGAGGTCATCGAGTCCAGTCCCCTGCCCTCAAAGCAGGACCAAGCACTGTCTAGACCAGTGGTCTCCAACCTTTTTACATCCAAGATCACTTTTTAAATCTCAAGCAAAGATCTACAGCCCCATCTACTGCCCCATCCTTTCCCTGAAGCCCTGCCCTCTCTGTTCTCCTCCTCTCCATCACTTGCTATCCCCAGCCCTTACACTCTCTACACTGATACTTTTTTTCCAATTTTTATGTAGGAAGAGGTTTTTCCAACATTTGGCCTGTCTAGACTGGACCAAATGTTAGAAAAACCCCTTCTTTTGGAAGCCCCCTTATTCCTTGTGGGTTACCGAAAGAGCATGTTTGCTCTTCCACTAAAAAACGCAGAAGAAAAAATGCATCCCTGGATGCAGAAGAGTTTTTCCAGGATATCTCTGGAATCCTGGAAAAACTCCTGCAGTCTAGCCGTACCCTCACTGAGTTGAGACAGGATGTGTGGGCTCTGGTGTGGGAAAGAGGGATTTGGGTATGGGAATGGGTGAGAGCTGCTAGCTCTGGGAGGGAATTTGGATGCAGGAGGAGGTAGGTCTCAGGGAGGGGGCTCCAGGCAGGGGGAGTGCTGAGATCAGATGGAGGGTTGGGGTCCTAAGCAAGCCACAGGCTTCTGGATGTGAGGGTTGGGGTATATGAGGGGCTCAGGGCAGGGGGGTCCAGTGTATGATAGGCTCAGATCTAGGGTCTGGGGGTGATGGTGCAGGAGTGTTATGATGCTGCGGCCAGATGGGGGCTTGGCCCCAATTGGGGGACTGTTGGCCAGGCTTCATTTTTAAATAACATACGATGCCAGACACAAAAAGTTTCTACATTGTCTTTATTTATGGGAAGTGCAGGGACCCTGTTTTGAGTCAGGGGGTATATTAGATAAATTTGGTTTTCTAAGAAGAATTACCAATCACCTTAAAATCATAGCCCAGCGTACTCCCTAGCTATAGTCAGTATACACAGACTGTCCGTCCCTCAGATTCTAGGTTAAAAATCTTGTTCCGAGCCAGCTTTTAAAAGGCTCCTCCTCCCTCCGGTGACATATTGTACCTCAAAACAGCATCCTGTACCCACCATATTCACCACATGTATATTACTATGATATTCTGTACAAAGAATGCCTTGTAAGCTATCCTATGGAAAATAATGAGTAACAGAAATTCCACTGTTCTGTCAAAATACGTATGTCATTGTATCTGGAGTATGAGATTCTGCTCTATGGTGGTTGTTACTGAAACATGTTGTAAGTCTAGGAATTGCTAGCTCTCCAGTGGCAACAAAGGAGTGCCCCACAACCAGATCAGCCTTTGACCAGCCAGGGAATTATAAACACGAGATTTACAATTCAATACAGCCATCTACCCTGCAGGAAGCAGGCACTACCTCCATTTTCGCTGGAGGTAAGTAGTGGGGCTTCTCGGGAGTGGGGGGGGGGGCGAACGCCTCGCGATTAACTGGTCGAGCCCTCGTGATCGACTGGTTGATCGTGATCGACCAGTTGGTGACCAAAGGTCTAGATCATTCCGATAGACTCTATCTAAACTGCTCTTAAATATCCACAACCTCCCTGGGCAATTTATTCCAGTGTTTAACCACCTGTTTCTGGGATGGCTTTTTGGTCAGCTGATCTCAGTCCCTATCCAGCCAGATGTGCTCAGCATTTGATGGTGTACAAACACCTGCTACTGCTCAGTGGGTGTGACTGACAATCACATTTCAGCATGTCACAGGTAAGGCTGGGGAGTTGACTCACTATGAACAGGGTACTTACCTTGGATGGGTGCAGTGCCTAGCTCACTGACACTAGCAGTTGGGTCACCGTGGGACAATTAAAGGCAGCAGCTCCCCACACCGAGAATTCACTTTCATGGATGCAAAATGATCTGATCTTGTGGGCCCAATATTAATGATCACAATTGGCAGCTTCTTTTCATGAGCAGCAAGTGCAAACCTGTAACCAGAGTACACCTGCAGGGATTCGAAGGGACAAAGTGCTGAGGAGCCCGGCCAGAAGAAGAGCTACAGAAAGTTCCAGTCTGCGGAGGCCATTGCCCAAAGGTGGGACATGACTGTTTCCTCTGGGGTATTGGCAGATACAGACTACACAGAAGAATGCTGTACAAACTGCTCTTCATTCAAGCTCTAGAGCCTTTCTTCAAACCTGCAGAGGATAGGAGCAGCTGCTAACTCCTAAATGGGGATTTTCAATATTGTGGAAAATATTCCCCTTTACTGTTTTTGTGACTTTCCTTGTCTTAGCTAGTTATAGGGTCTTGCTTATGTGCTTCCACCTTCATGGCCTATCTGCTCTCCCCCTTTGATCCTGCCGGTAAAGTATGGGGATAAACACCCCATAGCTTGATTGCTTCCAGAGACAAGATTATGACTTCACTTCAGGCTCAAGCAATAGTTGGCCCCTGGTGTTCTCTTACTGAGGTGAGGATTTTGGAACTCAACAGCCTTGGCCTTACCCAGGCTATGGCTAGACTAGACTGATCTATCGGAAAAAGGTACGCAAATTGCGCTTTGCAATTTGCATACCTTTTTCTGATAGCTTTTTCGGAAGAGGCTTTTCTGAAATTTGGTCCTTTTTACACTGGGCCAAATTTTGGAATAACCTCCTCTTTCGGAAGAGCCCTTCTTCCTCATGGCTCAAGGAAAACAGAGCTTCCGAAAGAGCGCATCTGCTCTTCCACAAAAAATGTCGGAAGCGTAGATGCGTTCCCTGCACG